CTTATCCATTTGATTGCGAATTATTTTGATTGTTTATTTTTGTTGAGTTTCATTTTGTTTTGTTGAGTTTTTTTTGATTTTTTTGAGGAAATTGCTCAGGATTCAATTTCTCCGGTTTCATAGTACTTGCAATGGATTCTTTTCTAGATTTTGCGGATTAGTGGATTGGGATTTATCTAGACCAGATGAGGAGGGTTGGTGGGCGAAGTGTCTTGAAGTTTTTTTGTGAGGAAGGAGGAAAAAGTTTCAGCAATATTTTTTAGTTCTTGACCTAGGAATATTTTGATAGTGACTAGTTCTATTTATTGTCATCTACATCGTTCCTTTTGAGCTTCTTTTCACTTGTACCGTGTATCACCGCTCTCTCCACTTCAACATGGGCCATGCGTTTACGACCCCCCCCTCCATCGCGGGCAAATACGACCCCCCCCCCTGTCTGAAATGATCCACAACAGATGGGTCGCTCTGGGGGAGGGGTATAATACAGTGGCAACATAGTAAAGAGAACAGACAAAAAGTCACACAGCGGATTGGGGAAAATTCTCCAAAATTTTGTTCTCGACGCAGCAAATTGTATCTCAAAGGCGCATAAGAACCCCCTCTCCCAGCGACCAAATACGACCCTCCCCCCCTCCCGAGCGGAAAAGTACGACCCCATGTGTTTCACACAACGATGCTGTGCCCTGCTCGGGTAGACCATCTTCTCGTGCAAACAACTATTCAGATATTCGCCACTTGGGCTGTGCCTGCCTCGCCAAGGTCTCAACTGTTTTTGAGCGGTATCTTTTTTTCAAAGGAAAGTGGGTCCGGTTTTGTATAGTCTTAGGAAAAGCGAAGAAGCCCCCAATTTGTGAAGTTGGAGCATCCTTCGAAAAAGTCTTCCATAGTTACATTACTGGTGCAATGAATAGTAACAATGGTATTAAACGTTCATGGTAATGCCTTGTACTTTTTATTGAACCAGTCTTGAAAAGACAGTTTCGTGTAACTGCACATTAAATGTCAAGTGCCCTGTCACTAGTAATGACATCGTTGAGCATCACCCACCTGCCGGCAGTGAAAAGAATTCAGTTTAGTGTCGATGACGCCCAGATTTCCGTTTGCTGCACTATTCACTCCACTGGTTCACTTTGCTTTTCCTTTGGTTCTTCTTCTGATCTTGAGATGCTCTCCGAGTTTTTTCAGGGGGTTATCAAAGGTGGGGACCAAGCTTCCAGCTCAGATGGGTGTCTTTTGGGATGCATCATACACACTCCACTTCTATTCAGATTTCTCATGGCATTTAGAATAAGATCTTGCCTCTACAAGGATGTGCAGGGAGCAGGGTCAAGCATACGTCGCAGAATTCGCGACGGGGGATCGTATTCGGTCCCTCGGGAGGGTGATTGTATTTGCACATTAGTACCGAACACATCAGTGACGTAGCTTGCAGGATGGGTGATGCGTGAAGTTGAGTTCATGGCGCACCCCATCGAGACACTGATCAGCACCTCTGTGCTGTAAGCGAAACGGCAGCGCCTACCCGAAGCTTTCTAGATGGAAATGTGGGCTATGCAGATGGGAGGGGGGGGCGGAGATCCCCGCTGCGTTTCTGAACAAGTTATTCCACGTGGAAAATCCGCAAAGGCGACGTTTTTAGCTGCAAATCAAGCTACAAACAAAAATCAGGGCCCACACCATTTGGTGGGGATTTTATTCGCAGTCTGTACGACCCTCCCCCTTTTTTTTGGCGGAGGGGCATATACTATGCATGAAACAGCATACGGAACAA